ACTGACCGATTGGGGTAGCATGTGATAATACCGATTCGATTTTCTCCCCAGGCGCTATTTCATGCTTTGTTTATCTCAGTACCATATTGGACTCTGAGGTACAGCCGGTAGAAACTAAAGTTTACAACCGTAACACTTCCTAACATTTCCCCAAATTGTTCCCTTTTCTTTCCTTTGTCCCGTTCCCGGTTTCCCGTTTCCCGTTTCCCGTTTCCCGTTCCCCGTTCCCCGTTCTCCGTTACCAGTTTTAGTAACATCCGACTATCAGGGATAAAAGAAGCTACATTAGTGAAATTTAGATCAGGTTAACGTACTCAGTTCAAGACAACTAAGTATACTAAGTAAAACCTTGAAGCTGATGTCGTTCCTTGAGGTGGAATAGGCCTTGAAAAAGAATACCTATTAACCTTGCCCGTCCACATTCGAATATTAGGGACCTTAAGATACGAGGACGGGAAGGCCAGGACGGGAGCCGCAGTGGACGCGGGAAACTTTCGCGGGTCCCGTCGTGTCGCCAAAGACAAAATGCTTAAGATGTGTATTTTCGTAAAGGACAGCGACTATGATAATTTGAGCTTCGCAAAAGCTTTTCGTAAAAGCAATGACATCCTTTAGACTAAAGAGATGATAGAAATCTTGTCCTATTAAGCTTAAACGATGGTGAACAGTCGATGCTGAATTTACTCTTCTTTATAAGCGACGCAAACATCTCTATCAGTTTTTATTTGTAATAAAGAAACCGGAATCTCCGTACGAAATATTAAACGAACAATCTAATCGACCTGCTTCAGATGGCTTTTTACCACCGAGCATTTGAGAATCCTGTCGAAGGAGAATCCTGACATAGGGCGAATATTTCAATTTCCATCTGTAACTGTAACAAGCATTATAAAAATAAAACAAATATTACATCAAGTTCCGGGTAGTTAAAAAAAACACAACAACAACTAAAGATCACTTTGAAAATGTGAATTTTATTTGCTCGACAGATGCTTTCATGGCAATCATTCTTGCAACGTGTTATCGACCTCGAGACTATACTTACACTGCTGTTTTCTCAATGCATACAGTTTGTATTTCGTTTTGAGCTTGCACACTCGTGACCGCGACCGAACAGTGACTGAAACACAAACGAACAGAAAAGGAATATTTTTATTCACATTTTTTTTTTGTATTTCAACGTTGTATTTCTACACTAGAATCACGAAAAATGTGCACCTAATAAACATTCTCACCAATATAACTGAAAATAATGTCCATTGGAACATTAGCCAGGGCAAAACAAGGGCAAAATAGTCTCTCACGTTTTCCATACGACGGCTAGTCGAGCGAAATGGCGTCCTCGACGAGACGACGACGGCAGAGAGATGAATCGAGAATTCTCGTGCGCATGCCCGTTTGAGTAAATTTACTTCTGTCCTAGCTCGTCCCGTCCTCGTATCTTAAGGTCCCTATTTTCCCTTGAACGAGGCAACAACGGCTAATTTGCAAGCAAACAAAAGAACACTAAAATGGCGGCCATTTTGGAATAAGGTGTATGTATGTGTCATGAATAATTGTAACCAAACGTGCGCTGACTCATGTGCCAAACTACTTCTGGTCCAGAATAATCCCAAGCCACGAAAACCATAGTTTTGCTCGAACATTAAGTATCCGAGCATATTTTCTTGCCAAATGGAAGATTTTGTTTATATATCAATAAGCAAATTATATCTGTTCCAATCGGTGTACCTTTGACGTGCAGGGGCTCAATATAAATCCCACAAACAAAGCCTTCTTCTAGAGTGGCAGAAATTATGAAATCTTTCCCATTGCTCAAGATCTGTGCTTAATCAGATTTCTTTCACAGTCATGTAAAATGTCATGTACACATCCCTTACTTCTCGCTACAGTGAATGTCAAGTCAGTATTTTAGTCAGCCTTAAATTTCATTTTTTGCCGTGGTGAATGCAGTGAATAGTCTCTGCAATATGAATATTAAATAAATATCATTCACAACTATATCCATCCATTACAGGAACGACTGGAAACAACACAATAATATTCCCTCAAAGTATAATACTGTACAAAGAAGCGATTGTTAAAAAAATTAAACCGGTAAACAGTACGGCATGTCACTAAACGCCACATGTTTTTCTACACCAAGTCCGCTAAATTTTCCAAAACAACAATTGCAAATACACAAGTACAATCGGATGCAAATTTCTAACTCAAATTAAATATCCAATATCTGATAGTAAGTACATGTACTTACTTACTTTTACCATCGCTATACCGTATAACTCTATAATCTTATCAGAGCTACTCACTGGCTTAACCCTGTCCACATCTGTGTCAGCAATGCTGAAGTATCATTCCGTGCTCAACTGTTTGCGTAAAACTGTCGAGTTCCTTAGAAAATAAATTCTATTGTTTTTATGCTTTTCTAAGCAGCCAAGCACCCTATAAGTGAACCGGATTAAATCGGTTGGAATATTTGCATCTTAAGTTATTTACTTTACCTGAATTACGCACACCTACATTTGCATCAGGAAAAAACGGAAAAAGTGTGTGATCGTTTACTTACTGAATTGCTTATGTAAGACTAAAGAGAATAAGTCGATTACGCATCTTGCACGCCTTCGCTGTACAAAGATTTTCCTCTCAACATTTTGTGAGCAGCCTTCATGTATAAATTCAACGGAAGGTTTGGCGAAAGATGTGCGTATAGTAATTAGTGTTAGTAATAACAGTGCGATTTAATTCCTCAAACCACTCAACTTGTTTGCATAAAGCTACGTGTTGTGCTACGTGTTGTTGTTGAGGCAATTAAACAAGACATTTCATTGTTTTGAATCAGCGGCGTGGACGTATTTAATATTTGTGTAAGTAATTGCTTTTGACAGGATCACGTTAGGAAACTTAATAGATAGAGTCAGGTTGTGATCCTTCTGGCAAAAAAAAAAAAAAAAAAAAAA